CCTTATGTAACTGAGGATGATCCCCAACTCCTGATCCTCCTGTCTCTACCTCCCAAGTACTGGAATTATAGGTTTGAACCACCAAGTCTAACTTCTAATAATTTTCTTCTATAAGAAGTCTTGTAGCTGCCTAAATTCATGAACACAAGAGTGCTCTAAAGACTATAAATATCAGCCGGGCGTGGTGGTGCAGGCCTTTAGTTCCAGCTCTTGGGAGGCAGAGGCAGGTGGATCTCTGTGAGTTCACGGCCAGCTAGGTCTACATAGTGAGTTCCAGGACAGCTGGGGCTACAGGGAGACCATGTCAAAAAAAAAAAAAAAGCAAAGACTATAAATACCAAATGTAAATATTAGATATTTAACATTTGCCCATAACTGATTTTTAAATTCACAACAGGTGAACCAGAAATTCTATGCATTACAGTAAATGCTGGTTTATAATTCTGAAATATGCAGCTGAAGAGACTGCAATCTTACAGGGCTGGAGAGATAGCTTGGTTGGTTAAGAGCACCAGCTGTTCTTGCAAAAGACCTACATTTGTTCCCAGCACCCACATGGAGGCAAACAACTGTCTGTAACTCCAGTTCTAGGGGATCTGTCTCCCTCTTTTGGCCTCCGAAGGCATTGCACCCAAAACACTCATATACATAAAATAAAAACAAGTTTGTTTGGTTTTTTTGTTTTGTTTTTTGAGACAGGGTCTCCCAGAAGCTCCAGCTGGCCTGGGGCTTGCTATGTAGATCAGGCTAGCCTGGAACTCATGGAGATCTGCCTGCTTCTGCCACAAGTGTTGGGATTCAAGGTGTGCACCACCACACCTGGCTAAAAATAAGTTTTTAAAAAATAAAGCGGATGCAATCTTACAATGGAATTTCCTCTAATGAGGATTAAGAGAATTCACTGGGGTGGAGTATGGTAAGCCCTACCCATGTATACTAGGTATGACCAATGATCAAAGGAAAACAAGTGAACAATCCCAGAAAACATGGAGTTTCCCTCTCACTTCCTCTTTCTTTTCCCAATTCTGTGTACCAATGGACAGTCTTTTACACACACGTGTTCATATATGGAAATGGTGTATATACAAACTAGAGTATAAAAATCAACTGGAAAAGAAACCATCATCTTCAGTTGAATCAGTATCTACAACTGTATTTCACAATCATAAAACAACATTTTGCAATGACTTTCAGTTCAAGTGTTAAACTGAATTGGCAATTTTTATTAAAACAAACAAAAAAAGGTTTATGTAAGATGTTCCCCAGAAACCAAAGACTGTTTACCTTCTAATTGCATACTGAAAATCTCATCTACAAAGCAGAGAATGAAAATTTCTTTTTTTAAGATTGTTTTGAATTTTTTAATAATAAATGTGTGTTCCAAGCCCAGAGCACACACTCTGTACTCGCACTCTCACACTAACCACCGGGGAGAAGGGGCAAGAATTTATTTTTACACACACTGAAGTTAAATACATTTCAGAGGTTACCGTAAAAGCAGAATTGGTGTGAATTCCTATACTGGGAGTAAAGTAAGAGGAAGTTTTTGACTAAAACTATTAGTCATGAAGTAGTAAAACCTCCAGCCTTTTAAGTTAAATGTCCTTCTCTACACATTCTTCTGTTTTCCAAACCAAGATCACATGATGTTCAAGGTGAGAAATTATTGGAAAGGCCATCACCCAATAAGTCTTGACATAATCTTGAAGTGTTTTTAAGATCTCTGTAATCTACATTGGCATAAGAAAATTAGGCACAATTATACAAATAACAATATAAACAAATGGCAGGGCATTGCAGCACCCACCTATGATCCTAGCACTCATGAGACTGAGGTAAGATCTTGAGTTTGAGGCTAACTGGTGCTACATAGCAAACACCTGTCTCAAAAACCCACACACAAAAAACTACAACCAAACAAGAAGGACTATTAAGTAGTCTCAGCATACTAGAAAAATGAAAGATACATGAAGGATGCATAATTCGTATTATAGAAATCAGAAAGGAAAACTAAATGGCAAAAAGTAACAAATGGAGACACTGGAACAAAGACCAAATATAATTGTGCTAGCATAAAAATGCTGGGAGCTCAGCAGAGGGCCTGAGAGCCAGAGGGCCTGAGAACCCAGGGGACAGCCTGACAGCCCCCGATCCTGCTTCCACATGGTGGTCCTTTTAATAAGATGCTATACAGCAGTCCCTTCTGCATGAAATAACTACCATCATCACAACTTTGGCTGAGCCTGATTGCTAAACATAGTCACAATTGGGCTTAGTCACACTGGACCCTCACCTGAGTATCCAGCCACTCTTCCCAGCCAACTAATATAGCCTTGGAAGACAAAAGAAAAATGAGGAGAACCCAACAGAGGGATGCTTTTGGAAGCCCTTATCAAGAAACTTCAATAGTTTCATATGAACATTTGAAAATTGTCCTGTTCTGACTTTTTTCTAGTTCCCTGTCTAGGACTTGTATTGCTAATTACTCTTGCCTTTACTTCTCCTTCACATCTCCCATTCATGATTCAAGGACTTTCTTCTTCCCTTAGAGACAAGAGTTATGCAATTTGGGAGTCTTTTAGATAGACCCACTGAAGGAGTACTTCAATTGCCTCACCCTGGGTCCCTGCTCAGCATGGAAGAAGCCAGAGCGGTTGGTGTCCCTATTCCCTATTGGCAATTTGGGTAACCTCTTCAAAGGATGGTGTGATAAGAATATGAGGTAGGAACTGGCTAGGCAGTTAGGGTAAAAAGACCCCAAAGAAATGTAGCCAGTTTTTTGGCTAAAAGTCAAAATGTCCTTGGGCCTGTTAGCAAAATATTCTTTTCCAAAGGCCAAAAATGTCAAAAAGTATTTGGGAGCTTGTATCTAATCCTTAAAAGATTTTAGGGTTATCTCTTCAGAGGGGGGGAATGTTGGAAGGGAGGGAGTGGGCATGGATTTGATCAAAACACCTTATATACGTGTATGAAATCCTCAAAGTTTTTGTAAAAATTAAAAAATAATTTTTAAGATTGAACTTAAAAAAATTTTTTTTTGTCTTTTTGAGACAGGGCCTCCCTACAGCCCTAGCTGGCCTGGAATTCACTATGTAGACCAGGATGGCCTTGAACTCTCAGAAATCAGCCTGCTTCTGCCTCCCAAGTGCTGGGATTAAAGGCATGCACTACCATGCCTGGCTGTTAAGACTGAACTTTTAAAGAGCCAGCAACAAGCTATTTATAAAAGAGAAATGGCTATATTTAAAAAAAAGACATACAACAACAAGTGTTGGGAAGGACAGGGAGAAATGAGAATATGCATATATCATTAGCAGGAATGTAGAATGTACAGCTGCTTTGGAAAACAGCCTGGCAGTTCTTCAAAGGTGGTTCTGAGTTGCCATGCAAACCAGCAACTCTATTTGTAGGTACATAACAAAGGCAACTGAAAACACAGACCCACACTAAAACTTGTACACAAACATTCACATTAGTCAAAAAGTAGAAACCACCCAAATGCCCATCAGCTGATGAATGGACAAATAGAATTGTGGGATATATGTATAATGTGGTATCATTTAGCTATAAGAAGGAATGAAGTTGGGGCTGGAGACATGGCTCAGCGGTTAAAAGCACTGACTGCTCTTGCAGAGGACCCGGGTTTGATTCCCAGGACCCACATGGTGGCTATGAACCGTCCTTAACTCCAGTTCCAGGGGAATCCGAAGCCCTCTTCTGACCTCTGAGGCACTGCACGACACGGATGCACTCACATACATGTAGGCAATATACTCATACACATAAAATAAAAATAATAAGTAAAAAAAGGAATTAAGTTTAACACACTTCAATATGAATGAACCTTAAAAAAAACAATCTAAGTGAAAGAAGCCAGTTGCAAAAGGGCACATGTGATTCTGTTTATATGAAATGTCCACCATGGGAAAATCCACGGAAATTACGTTAGTAGTTTCAGAGTACTGGGGATGGGGCTATGGAAGAGTAATAATGGATAGAGTTTTTTGGGGGGTCATGCTCTATAGTCAAGAATGGTGCTGGTGCATAATTCTGTAACCATGTTAAAATGCAACCCTTTGTACTTTAAAGGAACAAATTTCATGGTATAGATTTATGTCATTAAAATTATTTTAAGTGGCTGGAGAGATGGCTCAGCGGTTAAGAGCACTGACTGCTCTTGCAGAGGACCCAAGTTCAATTCCTAGCACCCACATGATGGCTACGAACAGTCCTTAACTCCAGTTCCAGAGGAATCCGAAGTCCTCTTCTGTCCTCCACAGCATTGCATGACATGGGTGCACTCACATACATACAGGCAATACACTCATACACATAAAATAAAAATAAATAAAATAAAACACACATGCAAAAACAAATATATATATACATATATATATATATTTTTTTTTTTTAAAATGTGGACCAGCAAAATGACTCAGCCAGTAAAGAAGTTTGCTGCCAAGCCTGATGACCTGAATTTGGTCTCCAGATCCTACCCAGTGGAAGGAGAGAACCAACTCTAACCTCTGAATACCATAGTATGTGTGTGTATGCACACACACACACACTTTTTTCAAAATTGAAAACAAACACAGGCATGGATGGCAGCACAAGTTTGTGATCCTAGCCCTCAGGAGGTTGAGGCAGAGGATTCCAAGCTCAGGGCTAGTCTAGCTAGACAGCAAGACCCTGTTAAAATAACAAAAAATGGTCAACAAAAGAAAAAAGAGCCCTTAACCATGCTTCAGTAAAAGTGCTGTTGAATAAGCGTGAGGATCTGAGTTCCATCCCAGGAGCCAGAAGGCAGGAGAAAACCTACTCCCTAAAGTTGACTCCGCAAAGTTACCCTCTACTCTCCATACACGAGGCACCTTTGTGCCCCCCGCCCCATGTACATACATAAATATATTACACACATAAAAAGAAAACAAGTTACAGACTGGAAACAAATATTCAGAAACTGCATTTCCTTTCCTTTTTTTTTTTTTTTTTAATTTATACAGGGGAGAGTGCAAACGCAGTCCACCACTACCACAAATTATGCAGAGTTTCCTGCATTTGGGGAAATGGCAGGAATCAGCACATCCCAAGTGCAATGGATGAGCCTCACCCTGGGAAAACCACCTTCCTGATCATGGTGTCTCCCCTGCCAGGTAAGTATCAGAAACTATATTTCCAACTAGAATCTAAACGAACTCCCAGCCAGGTGTGGTGGCACAGGCCTCTAACCATAGTACTCCAGAACCCGAGGCAGAAGGATCAAGTTTAAGGCTAGTTTGGGCTACACAGTGAGACTCTGTCTTTAAAAAAACAAACAATAATTACAAACAGTACACACATAAATGCATTTTTTTAAAAGAATTAAGGCACTCTCAAAAGTCAAGAATATAAAAACAATCCAATTAAAAATGCAAGTGTGGTGGTGCACGCCTTTAGTCCCAGCACTAGGGAGGCCAAGGCAGGCAGATCTCTGTGAGTTCCAGGCCAGCCTGGTCTACATAGTGAGTTCCAGGACAGCTGGGGCTACAGGGAGACCTTGTCTCAAAAAGACAAAAAAAAAAAAAAAAAAAAAAAAAAAAAAAAAAAAAAAAGAGAGAGAGATGCATAGACATTTCATCAGAGTACGCAGATGGCAAATAAACGAAGTAGAAAGTTACTGAACATCACATGTGTTTAAACACCTAAAATTTAAAATAATGACACTAATAAGTATGTCAGTAATGATGTAGGAGGCCTAGGCCTCTCACACACTGCCAGTAGATAAAATAATATAGTCACTCTGAAAAATGGTTTGATATTTTCTCAAAAAGTAAGCATACATGATCCACAGTTCTACTCCTGGGCATGTTATCTAGAAAAAATGTACATCCATACAAACACTGGTACTTAAATGCTCACATCATGATTTGTGATAACTCAAAACTAGAAACCAAATCATCTTCAATGTAAATAAACTGTGATATGTCATAAAATACTAGTTTAGCAAACGATAAACTGATGACAACTTTGCATCACTCATCACAAAGAAAGAAAAAGACATATGGAAAAAACAATTGGAGAGATAGCTCAGCAGTTAAGAGCACTGGTTGCTTTTCCAGAGGACCCAGGCTCAGTTCTCAGCACCCACCTGGCAGCTAACAACCATCCGGTTCCAGGGGATTTGATGCCCTCTTCTGGTCTCTGAGGGCAATAGATGCACATGGTACACTTTCATGCACGCAGGCAAAACATTCATACACATAAAATAAAATAAATAAAAAAAAAAACAGCTGGGTGTGGTGGCGCATACCTTTAGTCCCACCACTCAGAAGGAAGAAGCAGGCAGATCTCTCTGAGATGGAGGCCATCTTGGTCTATATAGTGAGTTCCAGGCCACCGGGGAGACCATGTTTCTAAATAAATATAATCCAATTTATATTGCAAAATGTTCAAATTTTCTCCTCTTTCTTTCTCCATTTTGAGGCAGACTCATGTGGCCTAGGCTGGCCTTGAACTGATCATCCTGCATTCACTTCCCAGTACTGGGATTACAGATGTGTGACACAACATTCAGTTTTACGCAGTGCTGGGGGACTGAACTTTATGAATTCAAGGCAAGCACTCTATGAACTGTGCCCCAGACGTAAACTTCTGAAATTTTTCTAAAATTCTGGAAATCATAAGAAAAATCCAACAACCAACTTAAAAGAACATAAATTCAAGCTGGGCGTGATAGCGCATGCCTGTAGTCCCAGCACTTGGGAGTTGGAGGCAGGCAGATCTCTGTGAGTTCAGGGCCAGCCTGGTCTACATAGTGAGTTCCAGGCCATCTGGGGCTACAAGGAGACCCTTTTTCAAAACGACCAAAAAAAGAGAAAAGAACATAAATTTAATGATCAGTTCATAAGAAAAAGAAATAATTCATCTAAAATATATAAAGAACTTTACCCTTAGGAGAGTCATGTGAAAGCCACAATGAATTATAAATTTTTAGCTATTATGTTGGAATGACTGATAAGTTTTACAACAAATGACATCACTGAAAGCCTAGGAAAAAACCTCTGACATAATCAGTGGGATTATACATTAGCACATACATTCATTACAACACTTCTACCAAATTTCTAAATGCATATTCTATTTTTAGGATTTTATAAAATATTGACTATATTTATATATGTACAGAGATATGCATCACAGAACATTTTCTATAGCAATGCCTTTAATAGCAAGAAACTACCAAAATGTCAGCCAGTAAGAAACTCTTCAGTAATAAACACATAACCTAATCCCTTGCTTTCGAAGTAACTTCTAGAAAAGAACGAATACCTGCAACAGAAGGAGCTGAAAGTAACACCTGGGTAGAGGTAAGGACAGAAGAACTTCCTTCTCTTTATAAACCTTTCAGTTTTTGGAGGGCAAACTACAACAGCACAATGGCACATGTGCATGAAAATGCCATAATGAAACTCATGACTTTGTATACAAACTTTAAAAATTAATTTAAAAAGCTGAGCATGGTGGTGTGTGCCTTTAATCCTGGCACTCAGGAAGCAGGCAGATCTCTGTTCCAGGTCAGCTGGGGCTATACTATAGGAAGACCCTGTCTCCAAAAAAAAAAGCATAGTAATAATACATTTCACATTATGTACCAAATGAATGTATTATCTACTCAAAAAATAATAAAGTAAACTAGGCATGGTGGCGCACGCCTTTAATCCCAGCACTCAGGAGGCAGAGGCAGGCGGATCTCTGTGAGTTCAAGGCCAGCCTGGTCTACATAGTGAGTTCCAGGACAGATGGGGCTACAGGGAGACCCTGTCTCAAAAAGACCAAAAAAACAAACAAAAATAAAAATATTAAATCTGATGATTCATGTTAGCAGAGAAGTTTCTGAGTTCCAACATTTGGGAACTGAGACGGAAAGATCAGAACTTTAAGACCAACCACAGCTACATACCAAGTTCAAGGCCTGCATAAGATATTGCCTCAACAAAGCAATGCAACACAGCAACCCAAATATATCAATGAAAAGAATAAAATCTAAGTCAGGTATGATGGCAGACACCTGTATTCCCAGCACTCAGAAGGCTGAGACAGGATATCAAGTGTTTTATACCAGCCTCAGATACCATAGTGAAATCACGGCTCAAACACAAAACAAACTGGATCTGGTCACTCATGACTATGGATTGCCTCAGCATTCAAAAGGCTATAGCAGAACGACTGCCATGAGTTTGAGGACAGTCTAGGCTGCAAAGTGACTTCCAGGTCAGCCTGAGCTAAAAGGCCAAAATCAATCAAACAAGATGTCTTTCATAAGAAGCAAGACAAGAATGTGCACACTTCAAATTAAATAGTCTGTGAAAAGGATTATTTATATACCATGATTGAGATTTATTGTTCCTGGAACCAAGGATGGTTCAATATAATATACCACATTAATGGAATTAAAAACAAAACAAAACACACAAGTACCTCCTAACTGAAGCAGAAAAGTCATCTGACAAAATTCAACATCTCTTCATGACAAAAGCACCTAAAATAGGAATGGAAGGAAACTATCCATATAAAAAAGGCCATACGGGAAAACCCACAGCTAATATGCTCGATGATAAAAGATCAAAAGCTTCCATTAAGATCAGGAGCTGGTTTTGCCATTTCTATAATACAGAGTACTGATACCCTCAAACAGAGCAATCAGCAAGAAAAAGAAATTAAGTTATTTCTGTTCAAAGATCATATGAGTCATATGTAGAAAACCCTAATGATTTCACATAATAATAATGATTTTAACTAATATAGAAAAATGTTATGCTGGGAGTGGTAGTGCACACCTTTAATTCCAGCACTTGGGAGGCAGAGGCAGATGGATCTCTGATAGTTCAAGGCCAGCCTGGTCTACATAGTGAGTTCGAGGCCAGCTGGGGCTACAGGGAGACCCTGTCTCAAAAAGACACACACACACACACACACACACACACACACATATATTAAATGGAATAAAATGCTGGCGCCATGCTGTACTGTGGATGAACCTTGAAATAAGTATGCTAAGGTGACAGTAGCTAGTTACTGAGCATGTATACATGGACTATGCAGAATAGGGAAATGCATGCAGAATAAATAGAAAATGAACGATGATCACAGGGGAGGAGGGGTCATAAGAATGCTGCAGACCAGCACAGGGTTTCTTTTCAGAGCAATCAAAACTTCTGAAATGAAGATAGTGAGGACAGTTCTTTCTCTCTCCCTTCTTCTCTCTGATTTGGGTGACTAGCCTCTGCCACATCTTCCTGCCACCATCAGATCTGCCTTGCTGTGGGCCAGAAGCAACAAAGTTAAAGGACGATGAATTTGTGCTGGTTAGAATGAGAATGTCCTGTGTAGGCTCCAGGTATTTGGACATTTTGTCATCAGTGGGTGGCACTATTTTGGGAGGTCTTAGAAGATGTGGCTATGCTGGAGGAAGCACATCATTGGGGGTGGGCTTAAGAGAGTTCTCAAGCCTCATCAAATCTCTGTCACATGATGCTTCCTGTGCCTGCTTGAAGATGTGAGCCTCTGTTTTCTGTTCCTACTCCAGCCATCTCTGCTGCCATGCCTCCCTGCCATAATGGACTGACTATTGCCCCTTTGGAACTGTAAGCTAAATAAACTTTTTTGTAAGTTCCCTTGGTCGTGGTGTTTCTATTACCTCAACAGAAAAGTAACTAATAAGGAGTGGAATCTCTGAAGTCCCAAATAAGTAACTCCTCCCTTGATTTTTCTCCATTATTTGTCACAGCAACAGAAAACACAGAAAATTGGAACCAGGGAAGTGAGGTCACTACTGTGACAAAATCTGACCATGTGGTTCTTAAGCCTTTGGGACTGGTTTGTGCAGGAATTTGGAAATCTGGAGAATGCTGTAGCAGAGCTTAACAGGTATTGTGGAGGGGGCACAGAAGAGCGCAATACTAACAGGAAGGTGGGCTGTGAAGGCCAGGCTGATGACATTTCAAATAGGGATGAGAATTCTTTGCTGAATTGGACTAGAGGCCATTTGTGTTACATGTGTCAAAGAAGTACCCTACATTTTGTGCTTGCCCTAAGACTCTGTTGGAGTCTGGGTTTAAAAGTGACTAAGCTGACAGGAAATTCTCAGGCAGCCCAACATGCAGGCTATAACAGATTATTGCT